TATATTAATATTTGTTATTAATAAATATATTAGTATACTTGATATACTTAAATATTAATATACTTATATATTAACTTATATAGTTATATAAATATACTTATTTGGAGGATCTGGTCTGCAAGGGGTGGGCTGGAGTATGGCTAGAGATATAAAAAGCAACAAGGAGTTGGAAATCCCCAGGACTTGAAGATCGTGTCAGAAAGAAAAGAATATATCTATGACTGGAAGTCACAGGAAGGGAACTGTGCTCATTGCTCCTGGAGTCATGGAGGCTGAGTCTCTCCACTGGAGAGGAGAATCTCAGTTCAGTGTACAGAAGAGAAATATTCTTTGTCAAATGCTGCTGGTGCTCTTTTCCACTGGGCTTTTAATTTTAATCAATAGATATTTGTGATACAAGGTGATTCCTTTCAACTTTTGGGTTTGAAAAACACACAAATCATATCTTGATCATTTTTCCTCCTCTTTTACCTCCTGCCCTCTCCTCTCTCAGTTGCCCAAGTCCCCTTTGGAAGTGGAGAAAATTTTGTTGGTTCTTAACTTGACATTTTAGTTTGTTATTATGTCTGTTTATAGTTTGGGACTCTCATAACTGGATCATGGTGTAATTTTGTTTCTAGTTTTAAAATTTTTTCTTACTATATGTTTGCAGCACATAATGATTGGTTTATCATTGCTTACAGTACACGATTGGTCTGGGCGTGTGAGTGATTGACTTACTGCAGAGGGAAGACCTACCATGGGAGTGGGCGGCAACAGCCAATGGGCTTTAGCCTCCATTACATAAAAAAGGGAAAGGAAAGGTCCCACCTCTGCTTCTTCTGAAGAGATCCGGTCTTCACTTTTGCTACTGCCGTTGGACATCCATCTCCCCGCCTCCAGTGCAGATTCTTCAGCCTTCCAGTGCAGACCATTGGATTCCTGATACAGAGACACACAGGACTCTGCAGTGAGCTCATTGTTTTTGGGGGATCCTCCAGCTGGGACAGAGGACAGACGGCCCCTTGCATTCTTCTATACCTGACTCTGCAAGTGGGCATTGTTAGGTCACCTTTCAAATCCTTTATGTAGAGTATTTATTGACATTTCAATGTCTCCTTTTGAGAAATGTCTGCTCATTTTAGTGGCCCATTTTTGATAGTGTCATTTACTTTGGATGTCTAATATATTATTTGTTTGTATGTTATACACATTAATCCTCTGTTCAAAGAACAACTGGGCAATTTTTTGACTTTGTAGGTTGAGTTTCATTTTGTTGATTGTTTTAGTGGGCAGTTTTTAAATTTGAAATTAACACAGAATGCTGGGTAGTGTCCCACAGTGATGAAGAATGACACTGTTGGAGGAGGAAGTAAGGTGTGAAAAGATATGAACTGAAAAAATGTAATGGCAAGAATGTAAAAACTTTTACAGGTAAGGAAGGAGAGCTCCCACTAGCTAGAAGAGGGTCTTGAGCAGTACACTCAATGCTCTTTGTCTAGGAGATTTTAAAGGTTTTGTGCAGGCCCTTGTGCAAACCATGACATGTCTATCTTCTAGGATATGGTATATTTTTGGAATCTAATGGATATAATATTTATGCAGTGTCTTTGTGTGTGCTTCAGACAACAGACAGTTTGACCATGTTCTGGGAGGTGTGTGGCAGTGTCAGGACACCTAGAAGAGGCTTCTATCAAATTCCTAGAAGATTGTGAAGCGATTTTGAACTTTTAAGTTCTACTCAGGGATGGTTGTTTTTATTGCATAGGGGAATCTTAATTCTAGTTCTATAAGTTTTTGTTCCACTCTCCTGTCTGAGGAAGTGATACTAACTGCCTTCAGGAAAAGGAACAATGGCAGCTTTAGTTCTTTAGAGATGTGTAGGGGCAGCTAGAAGGAGTTGGCAGTCAGGAGTATTCTTTACAGGGCCTGTTTAGTGGTCTGTGATAGAAAGCAGGTGGGCTTTCCCTTGGGGCTTTTATTTGTAGAATCTTTTGAATTTGAATAGACTCCAGCCAAGAGGAAACAAAGCAAACAAAGCGATTAATTAATCAGGTCTTCAAATGCAGAAGAGTCACAAGAGCTAAAAGTTGATATGAAGGATCTTATGAAGGTCCAGGCCCACCCCACAGGGGTTTAGGCAGGAGGACAGATTAGGGATGGAGGGAGACATCAGAGACACTGAAAATAGTACATCTCCCATTCCACGCAAAAGGCAGACTGTGATAGAAGACAACAGTGGTCTAGTCTGATAGCCAGGAAACTTAAAGGTAGATTAGAAGGCTCTGTCAGTGGGGAAGAAGGAGGAGTCTCAGGCTGATAAAGGCAAATGTAGCAAGGTATGGCTCCAGAAAACCAGTCCCCTAAGCACAGAGAGTGTATTTAATAGTGTGATTGTGGGGGAATGACATGCAATGTTAGGGATAAAAAGACAAAATGTGGCGACAAGGCAATATCTTTTCTCAGTGAGTATAAGGTTCAAATATTGGGGGAGATAACCCAAGGTGGATTATAGGCGCCATTTTGGTTTAACATGGATTTTGTTGATGTTTTTGTTTAGTTATGATGTCTGTGTCTTTACTAAAGAGAGGGAGGAAAAATCCCAAGGTATTTGAAGCAGTCTGGTGTTTGACAATGAGGCTAAAAATTAGCTGGAGAAAAGACAGGCTTTTTACAAAATAGTGCTATGACAACTACCCATAGACATACAGGAAATCGAACCTAGACCCATATTCCTCAACATGTAATTAATTAAAATAAATTCAACAAAGTGTTAAATATTGAAAGAGAATATGAAGAAAAAGCCTTTAACACTTAATCTTCTAGATAGGTGAAAAAGGTAGAACATTTGGGGATATAGGCTTATCTAAGACTTTCTGAAAAGATCCTCAATTGCATGAATAACAGTGAATCGACAAATGGGATTATATTCTTTAAAAAGTAGTAAAACTAGAGTTAATATTCTATTAGAAAATGAGCACAATAGGCCCCAAATAGAGTGAATAGGCCCAAAAATTGGTATATAGGAATGCTACGTCACAGCCCTCCAGAGATCTTACAAAAATAACTTCCAGGTGTCCTAATGCTGCCAGAGACCTGCCAAAAACATGATCAAGCAAGCCAATGGCTCAGGGCCACGGAGTTGCTACACAGACACATAGACTGTACCCTAAAATATATATATGCTCCTGTAAGACAGAGATTGCATCACTCATACAACAGCCCAGGGTCTCCTCTAAAACCCATAAAATCTCCTCCTCCAAAAGTCCTCATGAATATCTTGCTCCAAATCCCCTCCTGAATGTCCCTGTGGCTTCTGCATTCTTTTTTGTGTTTCGTTGATCCACCTGTGTGCTTCCTCCGAGTAACAAATTGCTTTGCAATATAACTTGAAATCTGGGATTTTGACCATTCTGGGTCTCTTCCGGTTCTACAGGAATTTTCAGATTAGTTTGTCCAGTTCTCCGAGGAATTCTATTGGTATTTTAATTGAGATTTCACCAAGTATACCTATCAGTTTTGAAGTATGGAGAATTTGACAAAATTATTTCTGCCTATTTATGAACACAGGGTTTCTTTCCATCTACTGATGTCTTCTTCAATATCTTTTTTTCCAGAGTAGTATTCACTGTAGACATCTTTCACATCCTTGATTAGATCAATTTGTATTTAACTTATGTTGGTGCTATTATTTATGGTATTGTATTACTAATTTCTCTCTGGCTGAGTTTATAGTTGGTATATAGGAATACCAGTGCATGCTACCACATTGCTGAATTTGGTTATTGCTTTTAGAAATCTCCATTTAAGAGTTTGGTTTTTCTATAGGAAAGATCATGTCATCTGTAAATAATGATTCTTTGACTTCTTGCTTTCTAATAAGTCCCATTTATTGCTTTCTCTTGCCTGATTGCACTGGCTTTTGTTTAGAACAATATGTTGAACAGGCATAATGGGAATGGACGTGCTTGTTCTGTTCCTAAGATTAGAGGCAAACCTTTCAGCATTTCTCATTTAATAGGAGGTTTGTCATAAATTAGTTTATCTAAGTGTTCTCAGGTCTTTCCATACCCACTTTCCTCAGGGTTTCTTTTTTTTTTTAAATAATGAAAGCAGGTTGGATTTTTTATAAGCTCTTCCTACATCTGTTGAAATAATCCTGTGATTTTTGCCTTGGTTTCTCCTTATGTAGTAAATTGTATTTGCGGATTTTTGTACTATGAGCCATCCTTGTATCCCTAAGATGAAGCCTGGTGGATCATGACATGTGTCCTTTTTGACAGTTTATTGCACTTGTTTGGCATTTCCTGGTTGAGGCTTTTTGCTTCTATATTCATTAAAGACCTTGGCCTGTAATTGGGTAGTTGGGTTCTTGTCTACTGTGCAATTAACAGTAGATTCTTGAGTTAAATCTCCGTCAAATGCTGCTGGTCCTCATTTTCACTGGGGTTCTTATTTTCCCGCAGACTCCTTGCTTTCAACTTGCACAATGCAGAGAGCTTTGAAATGAGACGGCTCCAGTGGAAACAGTGCTGGCTCCAGTGGAAACAGTGCTGGCTCCAGTTGAAACAGTTGGCTCCAGTTGAAAGAGAGCTGGTTCCTAGAGAGAAAGTTCAAATGAGTGGGACAAGGCCTTATGGAGCTGGTGCTGGTCTCTGGAATATGGGAAACACGTGCTACGTGAATGCGGCACTTCAGTGCCTGACATACACACCGCCTCTTGCCAACTATATGCTGTCCCGGCAGCACAAGCCAACCTGTCACGGCCCAAGAGTCTGCATGCTGTGTGCTATGCGATATCACATTAATTGGGCTCTCCACCACCCTGGGCAGGTGTTCCAGCCTTCAGATGCCTTCACTGCTGGCTTCCACAGACAGAACCAGGAAGATGCACATGAATTTCTCATGTTCGTTGTGAATGCCATGCGGAAGTCCTGTCTGCCTGAGTGCACACAGTTAGATCTTCACTCTGAGGACAGGGACCTAATGCATCAAATATTTGGGGGATACTGGAGATCTCAAATCAAGTGTCTCTGCTGTGGAGGTGCTTCTGACACATTAGATCCTTACCTGGACATTACTCTGGATATCAAGGCGGCTAAGAGCGTGAAGCAAGCTTTGACGCAATTGATGAAGCCCGAAAAACTGATTGGGAAAAACGCCTATGATTGCAACATTTGTCTAAAAAACATGCCTGCTTCCAAGACACTGTCTTTACACACCTCCTCAAAGGTCCTTATCTTTGTATTAAAACGGTTCTCAGACTTCAATGGGGAGAAAATGTCTAAGCATGTGCGGTATTCTGAGTGGCTTGATATGCAGCCGTATGTGTCTGCACAGAACCAGGGAACACTTATGTACACCCTTTATGCTGTGATGGTCCATGCTGGGTTGAGCTGTCACAAGGGACATTACTTTTGTTACATCAAAGCTGGGAATGGCCAGTGGTACCAGATGGATGACAACAAAGTAACTTCCTGTGATGTCACTGCTGTCCTGCGTCAAGATGCATACGTTCTCTTTTATGTCCAACAAGAGTGACCTTGTAAGGGATAGTAGTGAGGCATCCGCAGGCAGGGAAGCAAGGGTTCTTGGGCTTGATGACAAAGACATGAGAATAGCCCAAAAGCTTCAAACAGATTTCTACGGAGAAGTGGTTTAGTCAGCGCAGCACACAAAGGAAACAGGAACTGAAGACATCCCTTCAGACAAGTGGAAATTGCTCTAAGGAGAAAACCAACTAAAGACTAAATTGTACCTCGGGAAAACGGAATCTACCCTGCCATCTAACCTAGTCATTACCTACCTGTCAAAATGCACAGCTGGGGTTAGAAAAACTCAGTCTGAACAGCTCAATTTCCAGCCAAGCAGTTCTGCCAAGGACATTATGCACAGGAGTCTAGCATCACAAGCCAAGCACCTTGCCTGGGAGTAAGGGCCAGATATAACAAGAAGGACAAGCAGAGCAAGAGGACCATGTCTGTTTTCCTCATTTCAGATCAGTACAGGCAGTTGCTTGAGATCATGGTGCAGGTTTTCCTGTTCTGCTGTGGGGATCAGTATTTCCAGGTCACAATTCCCTGTTGGGTTCCTATTGTGCAGGACCTGGGCTCCATGTGGACATCACAGTCCCCACACACTGTGGGAGCCCCATGTCCTTGTCAGAGGCTCTATGGCTGCCTGCTCCTCTCCCACTTCTGGAAATAAGTCCATTTTTGTGTAGAATGGCTGCAACAAGGCAGATATTTTTATCATTTTCTGCTAATGCCAGGGACTTCCCTTCTTTGAAATTTTAATAGTTATATTCCCTTCTTGGTTTCTCTTCTGACATTCTAACATGATCTCACTGACTTTCACAACTGGTGGTTCATGCATGACTCTCCCATTGGTCAACTACTACCATCGGTTTTACATGCATGATTCTCCTCTGAGTGGCATGGGACAGTCCCATCAGGTGGCACAAGTGGTCCAGTGCAACAGTCACACATGTACGGCCCTGTCATGAACATGTTAAAAACAAATGTCTTACCTTATAATTCTAACCTGTTATTTGGCAAAAGTTTGCACGAAAAAAGTTAAAAAAATGATGAAATTATAACCAAAATTGTGCATTTATATTGATATTTGAAAGCTTTATTTGGTGTCTGCTGATTTAGTCATAACTCTATCCCCACGCTGCCCCCCCAGCTCATGTGCAAGGACCATGGGGGCTTCAGTCACAGAACAAGCAGGAAGTATTGTCCAACATGTTGCTGTCGTGGTACCCGGTCCCCAGACCCTCCTACCCAAATAGGGAGGAGGAGAACACCTCCTGGGGAAGACCCTAAATCTCCAGACCAAGTGCCCTTTAATAACCTTGAGAGAGAAGAGGAATAGTGACAAAGGTGAGTGCTGGGGAAGAAATGAAACATTTATCTCTGAAAAATGAGAGATGCTAAATATTTAACTCTGAAAACCAAGAAATGCTCTCTGTCTCTGTGTCCTCTCCCCACGCCGTTCTCAGGCAATGACAGGGATGCAGAGCAGAAATTAGCTCTAGTTTATTCTCCCTCACAGCTCACTCCCCGGAGCTCATTCCTCTGATGATGAACCAGTTTAGAGGAGGACTCAGGGCACGTCTAGCAACTTTGCATGTGACAGGAAGACAGGCGAGGGAGTCTCTGTCCAGGTACTGAGGGAAGAGGAGAAGCGCTGCCTGGGGCTGGGAAAGGTCTGTGCTGAGGGAAAGGGCAGGCCCGGCGAGGGTCCCAGTGCTGCAGCACATCATCAGATGACACAAGGGGTGGGAGGGGAATCAAATGTTGTCTTCTCAGTTTCAAGCAGAAATCAATGTGGGTTACATTACAATTCATACAGGCTTTCTTACATGCGTGCGCAAGTGTGCATGCAAACATAAGGTAGGTGAATGATACTGGTGATAACAAACACAAAACTGGTTTGCAAGGATTTCAGCTACCATACAAGTAAAATATCATATTGAGAAAGTAGTTTCTCAATATGAACATGTTAAAAACAAATGTATAATTCACATAATATGTTAATGCATAATTCTCAGGAATGCATAAATGCACTATTTCTGAGCAGCACTGTCTTAAATTATTGTGGCAGTACAGGAGAGCAAAATGCTGACACAAAAAGATGGGTTACTTTCTGAGATTCTAAGGGTCAAATTGGCAGGCTAGGTGTCACTGACTGACCCCTGCAGGTGAAACACTGTCTTTGCAGATTCATGCCTTTAGAAAGCATCTTACCATGACTGAGATCCATTCCTGGACAGAACGGTCTTGTTGAGAAGGCAGTGGCGGGGGCAGCCTCTGGGGTTAGGATGGAGGCTGGAGGGTCATCGGTAGCAAATGATGCAAATACAGTGTAGGTTGAAAAGTTCTACCATGTGTATCTCCAGAAGGAAACCTAACCCCACATTTGGGGTGGCTCAGTTTTCTGTTTTTCAAGTGAGGGTAGCAGTTGATTAGATCTGAACTAAAAGGGTAACAGAAGTAATAAACATGTACCAAGAAATTCTGCTTATGCTTATCTATGAGAATTTATAACATACTTATTAATAAACCAAAATGATAAACTCAAATCATTTCCTGAAGTTTTCTCAGTCAATTTTTTTGTGTATAGAAAATCTCAGTAAGACTGAGCAACTTGGTAGAAGATAACATTATGTAATGTAGCAACCTCTGTAAATTCCTATCATTTTGTTTTGAGGTCATGTATCATTTTTCTTGCTTTTGTGTTGTTTTGATTTTGTCTTCATTGTTGTTTTGTCAGTTTTTCAATTTTTTAAATAAAAAAAATCAAAAAGAAGGAAATCGCATTAAGGTATTCAAGATTTTGCATTCTCTCTTTTTTTTTTTTTCCAATACCTGGCATGGAACTCACGACCTCGCACTTGCCAGGCGGGCGCTTATGCCGCTGAGCTACATCCCCAGCCCAGACTTTCACATTCTCATTTGGCTAAATATTAAAAGATGTGTTGAGTAAAACTGAGCAGTCCTCTTAATGATTTTAGCATAAATGATTTAGTTTTTTTATTCAGTATGATTTTGATTGTGAGTTTACTGGTACTTACTACTATTAATGCTGCTATTTGGCCTTGTTTATCTAGTTTCTGTATGTGTTTTAATTATTAAATATGTTAAATTTTGAAAGATTTCCTATGGATCAAATGATGTCAGTCTAGAATTGGTATCATTGAATCTATTTGTGTGATGTGACATTTTTTGGTTTGTATTAATCAATAATGAGTCAATATGTATCATATAGAGTTCTGATTCTAAGAATTTTATTGATAATTTTGCCACAATATTCTTCAAAAAGATTGTCCTCTAATTTTCTGATCTGTTGAGTTTTATCCACTTTTGTGTTAGTGTGATACTGCCAGCCTACAATGAATTAATATTCATTCCTCACCCTTCCAAGTTTGTGCAATTCTTTAGGAACATTTATATCACTAATCCATTTACATTTTGGTAAAATGCAGGAGCAAATTCTTTGGTAATGAGCTTCTTTTGCGGGGACAGAATTTTATAATGCTTCAATCTCATTGCCTGTATTGACCTGTTTATATTTTACATATCTAGTAGCTCCAGTTTTGGAAGATCTCATCTATTGATACATGTTTCAATTTTTTCTAGACGTTTCAGATAATTGAAATACCAGTTTCTGAATTTTGTCATTACAGTCTTCTCTAGCTGAATGATATCTGTTTTAATATTTAGTTTCTCATTTTAATTTGAACATTTAGGCTTGATCTTTCCTCTTTAGTTGGGGGAATGATTTCCATTGTCTTCATCATGGCTGCAAAAAATTTATTTAAATGGTTACATTTTTCTTCATGTCTCTGTTGTATTATTCCATCTCAGCAGCTTATTATTTATTTTCTTTTATTCATGTTATGCTTGGTCTGTTCTTATGATTTCAAGGAATGAGATATATACAATTGTAGTACTTATCTGAGATCTCTTGAATTTGAATACTGTCAATTTAATCTGTAGCTTTCTGTTTTAGAATTTCCTTCAAAGTGTCCCAGAGTCTGAATTTCTTGAGTTTCAACCCTTACATGTTTGTGTAAGGTTTTACATTTGTCTATTTGGTGAATGTTAATTTTATTCCATTGAAATTAGTTACCAATTCTAGTACAAGTTACACTTAACCTTCGTGCATTTCATGACTTCCAATTTCCTAACATAATGTTATTTGCTTTTGCAATCATTACAGAAAGTTTGAGGGCTCACAAAAACAGGCAAAATAATAATTCCACATGTTCTCAGGAAAAACATACTCACCATCAAGCTAAAGGTAAGTTTGTATACACAATATATTTGCCACATAAAGTTTTTTTTAATCAGGATAACTTAATAAATCAGCTCAACCCTCTGACCATAAATAAGGTGAAATTAAGTACTCTCTCAGGGAAGTTTTCTGAGTATTTTCAATTTAGTTAGAAACCACATGAATGTAAAAAAATGATGTTTAGACACAGGAAAAAATAAAAATATTGTACCTAGACTTTGAAGTATGTCAAAAGCTCTAAATTAATTTAATATAGTAAGTCCATAAATTACAAATGTGTTTCATTCTAGGATAATTTTTTTTTTTTTTTTGGTCTTTTTGAGACAAGGTCTTGCTATGCAGGTCAGGTTGGACTTGAGCTCACTTTGTAGCCCAGGCTGGCCTCAAACTCACTACAATCCTCCTGCATCAGCCTCCCTAGAGCTGGGATTACACGCTCCAGGTGAATTGTTTGTAATTTGAATTTATTCATAACCGAATGGTGATTCTTGTAGAGTACACCTCACAATTAAACATTCATCAGTATGGGACTTACTGTATTTCCCTGGTTGTAATAGTACAAACACAAAATACTTAGCATAACTGGTAGAAATAATGTACAGGTATGCAAGGAAAAAGAAAATCACCTAACTCTAGGTTTCAGTGATTAGTTTGAAATTCAGATGTTGAGAAAATACTATAGTAAGATATATTGGCATATCATAAACAGCAATTCTTCACAAAAGAAAAGCCTAACTCAGAAGAAATTGTTGTAAATAGAAAGCTTTTATTCACCACTTGCCCTTGACTCGTCACTTATAAATTAACTCTGTAAGTATATGCTGTGTAAAAACACAGTGAGATTATTAATCATTACTCATA